CGGTTTCTCTTGCCAGCATTTTGGGTCCCATGGACTGATCTAAAAAACTTTGATTAACTTCGGATTCTTGGACACAGTGAAGGAATTTGATTAAATTTGATGCTTTTCAGTGTAACTTCGAGGTTTTTTTTTTCTTTTTCTCCCTCCTGTAAATCAGACTGATTTACATTTTGAATAGCGTCTTGTGGCTATTTCGGTTGTAACTTTAAAAGAATACAAAACAGAGTCGTTTTTTCCAACCAGGGTTTCTGTCAGAGGTCATTAGTGACAGAGAACACTATCAAACTGTGCTAAAGAGTTGGTTAGATACAGTCATCGACCCTAATTTGCGGTGGATAAACTGTTACCGAGCTTCTGAACATGGCTGGAATGCTTCCATATTCCACGCTCGATGCGACTTCAAAGGCCCTTCGGTGACTCTTGTCAGAGTAAAGAACTTTGTCTTTGGAGGATTCACAGAGCAGGACTGGGGAGGTGTGATTTTCAGTGCATCAATCAGTTTTTATTCCTTCGATTATTTGTTATTTTATATAAAGTTTGGTTTACAGCCAATGTTTTTGCCAAACTGCCACCCAGCCACGAATCAACAAATAAACTAACAAACTCACCTAGCTAACCAACTAATTCATCAGTCAGTCAAATAACCAGATATTGATCATCAGCCGAGCTATTCATGAAATCAATATAAACAATGCAACCCGGGCCACCACCGTGCCCAATAAACTGATTGACAGTCAGTGTAAATGATTCCTTTCAAGTTAGAATTTGTACTCGATTCCCGGGTTGATACACGCGCATACGATTAACACCAAACCAATATAGGATCTTTTCTTTCTTTATTCCTTTCCTATTCTTTGAGGCGTTCTTATATCGAAGCGGTCAACTGAAATCATTACGTGAAGAAATTAACCAAGTGTTATGTGATCATATCTTTAAGAATAATATCGATTTGGGCAACGAGCAAGTGGCCATTAAAGGAAACAAGAAAAGTAAAAAACTAACGATGGGTTTCGCTTTGAATCACAACTATATGAGTTGACATAATCACAAAATAAATTGTTGCTTACCAACGTTCGCGGGTCTTGACTACTTTATCGAGGATTACGGTCTAATTTGTCTTCTATTTAGAAACGATCTTGATTACACGAAGTCTTATCCTGAACTGAAACGCTAGCTATAATTTTTCTGTCTAAAATGAGCTAGTCACGGAGGCGTTAATCAAACCATAAAATATTTCGCAGCTTCTTTCGGAAGCGACAACATTTAGCTTTAACGGAAGCGGCTACAGTCAGCACTACAACGTCACAGAAGGAAAAATACCGATTCATTCTCACATTTCACCCTCGCAACCACACAATAAAATCCATCGTTCTCAATTCTTTAAATAACTTCAAAATGATTCAGAGACTGATGCTATCTTTTCGCAACCTCCAATTATTTCATTCAAGCGCGACAAAAACAGAGGCAAATTTTT